GAATAAGAGATCGCAAGTACTCGAAGATGTTGAGAGACTATTATTGGTGTGGATAAATGAAAAACAGATAACAGGAGATAGCATCTCTCAAGCGATCATATGTGAAAAGGCTAGGAAGTTGCATGAGGATTTAATTAGAAAAATGCCTGCAACTAGTGGTGATGTGAGTGAATTTAAGGCCAGCAAAGGTTGGCTTGAGAGATTTAAGAATCGTAGTGGCATACATAGTGTGATAAGGCATGGTGAGGCTGCCAGTTCGGACCAAAAAGCGGCTGAAAAATATGTGAAGGAATTCAAGGATTACATAGACAGTGAAGAACTGAAACCTGAACAAGTGTTTAATTGCGACGAAACAAGCCTGTTTTGGAAGAAAATGCCAAACAGGATCTACATTACTCAGGAGGAAAAAGCACTCCCAGGACATAAGCCTATGAAAGACAGGCTTACTCTCTTGATGTGTGCTAATGCTAATGGTGATTGCAAAGTGAAGCCTTTATCGGTGTATCACTCTGAAACTCCCAGTGTGTTCAGGAGAAACAATGTCCTCAAGGCTAATTTGTGTGTGATGTGGAGGGCAAACAGTAAGGCATGGGTCACTAGAGACCTTTTCTATGACTGGTTACACCATGCATTTGCCCCCACTGTGAAAATTTACCTCCTGGAGAATAAATTGGACCTTAAGTGCCTCCTGGTATTAGACACTGCTCCTGGTCATCCTTCAGACTTGGCAGAGCGACTTTCTGGGAACATGAGCTTCATTAAGGTCAAGTTTTTGCCTCCTATTACCACTCCTCTCCTGCAGCCCATGGCCCAGCAGGTCATTTCAAACTTCAAAAAACTCTACACAAAAGCTATGTTTCAAAAGTGTTTTGTAGTGACCACAGAAACTCGATTGACTCTAAGAGAGGTTTGGAGAGATCACTTTAGCATCCTCAATTGTGTAAACATTATAGGTAAGGCTTGGGAGGGAGTGACTAAGAGGACCTTGAACTCTGCTTGGAAGAAACTATGGCCAGAATATGTAGACGAAAGGGATTTTGAAGGATTTGAGGCTAACCCTGAGAAGTGTATGCCAGTTATGGAATCAGTTGTGGCATTGGGGAAGTCCTTGGGGTTGGAGGCTAGTAGGGAGGATGTGGAAGAGTTGGTGGAGGAGGACAATGAAGAACTAACCACTGATGAGTTGCAAGATCATCTTCAACAGCAAGAGGCCAGACCTGAGGAAACTGCTTCGGAGGAGGGGATAAAGAAATTGAAGAAGTTGCCCACCTCAAAGATTAAGGAAATGTGTGCAAAGTGGCTTGAAGTGCAAACCTTTTTTGATGAAAATCACCCTCACACAGCTATTGCAAGCCATGCTGGTGACTGTTACAATGACAATGTTGTGAACCACTTTAGGAAAGTCATAAAGGAACGGGAGGTACAGGCCTCTATGGACAGATATGTTGTGCGACAGAGGTCCAGTGACTCTGAAGCTGGTCCTAGTGGCATTAAAAGAAGAAGGGAAGTAACCATGGAAAAGGACTTGATACCTCAAGTCCTAATGGAAGGGGATTCCCCTTCTAAACATTAACAACTTTCACACTCTTCTCTCCTCCCATCCCATCAATCATCACCAGATCTTCAATAAAGGTAAGTGTCAGTTTGTGTGTATTAAAATTAATATTTCATGTGATAAAAAAAATATTTTCATACTTTGTGGTGTCTTGCACAGGTTAATTTGATTTCCATTATTTCTTATGGGGAAAATTAATTCAGCTAACTATAATTTCATCTAACGATGAGCTTTCGGGAACGGATTAATATCGTTAGCTGAGGGTCCACTGTACTTCACATTTCCAGGACTCAAGTCCAGCTATAAAAATTTGTTAAATATCTTTGCAAAATCCATTTAGATGTATCATCATTTTCTTTTCCTTCCAAGGCCTCCATAATTTTGTCATAGTGATCTAATAGTTATTATTATTATAATCAAAAAGAAGCACTAAACCTAGATCTTATAGTTGTGATGTGAAAGATTTTCTTGCTCTAAAGCCATGTTGTGTAGCTGATGTTTCTCAGCAAAGTCAGCAGTTTGATGATCCAGAATCCCTCAGAGATTTTTATTTTGTGTGGCTGAAAGCATCTCAAAGTCATTAAGGGGTCAAGTAAATAACAAAAAATTGTAAGAATTCACATATCTCTGGTGAGGAGCTACGGATTGTCCTTTGTGCTTCATTATTGGGATTAACAGTGAGTCCTTAGCAACTTTGAAAAACTTCTGCCAACCATTTTCCCATTTTTTTGAAATCACTTTTAATAGATATATTGTACACTGTACTTTTTTTTTTTTTTTTTTTTTTTTTTTTTTTTTTTTTTTTACAAACTGGCCATATCCCTCCAAGGCAGGATGATCTAAAAAGAAAAATGAAAGTTCATCTTTTTAAATTTAGTAATTTATACAGAAGGGGCGTGTACACTATATATTGATATATTTTATTCATTATACATAACATTTAATTATCATTAACTTTTAAAAACTTTAATTGTTCTTAAAGTACTACTGTATTAAGAAATCTCATATTACTTGCTTTATATTTTGATATGCTAAATATCTTAATTATGTAATATGGATTTGTAGTTGGTGTGGGAGAAAGGAGGGCCAGGTCTTGTGTTTTATACTGATGCACAATACTGGAGAGAACAAGAAGGAGATTTCGACGAACAAACAACTGATGAGTGGGATGTTGACATGTCGGTCTACTATGAAGAAGGTTTGTCCTTTACTTTTTTTTATTATCACCTACCAAGGCAGGGTGACCCAAAATATAAACTCATTCACCATCATTCACTCAAAAGCTGTCTTGTCCGAAGTACACACTCATCACAATTCAAATTTCTCTCCAAACTGCAACATCCCCTTCCCTCCTTCAGAGTGCAGGCACTGTACTTCCCACCTCCAGGACTCAAGTCTAATAGTAACTGGAAAAATTTTCTTTGTGTCTGGAGGATGCTGTGAAATCCAGTTTTCAAGAAGCTTGTGAATCTTTTTATATATACTGCTACAATATGCATATTCTGACTCCCCATTAATGAATAGATTTCATAAATTCTCATTCATGCTTAGTGTATTGTTACTTGTATGATGAGTGAGAGATGGTCGGTGCATTAAAAAATAAAATCACGTTTTTGTGTTATTATTATATTCATGGAAAAGCACTTAAATCCATAGGATGTAAGGCAGTTGTCAGGTTTGATCTTAGAAAGGAAAGAGTAACTCTAATTCCTTGGTTCAAGAGCTCTTCACTAGCATCAGTGTGCCCACTTCCCTCCATCTTCTGAAAAGTTTGAAATTAATAACTGCCAGTAACTATATTCCTCTGTCTTACTATATGATAAAATAGTAAACTGTATTAAATGATTAAATTGAAAGTATGTAGTCTACTGCTGGTGTTTTGGTTTAGCATTAAATAATTACATTTGAAAATAAATACTGTACAACTGATGTTTTGGTTTAGCATTAAATAATCACATTTGAATGGTTTTACAGGTGCTGGAGATCATGATGCTCAGGATAGTGTTGCAATGTTGCACAGTGACAAACTTCGCTCAGGAAATATTTTTCACTCTGTCTTCAAAACCCCAAGAACTCACGATGATGGGAAAAAGAAAATGAGTAAGAATACCTCATCAGCAAATTTGAAAAAGAGAATTGGTAAGTTACACCAAGGCATCAAAAAAAAAAAAAAATATTGTATAAAATGAATTTTCTATTATTTCTTATACTTATTACTACAGTGGTACCTTGGTATGTGATGTAGTTCGTCTGGGCTTGTGAGGTCTCTAGGGAGACCTAATTATATGGTCACACCTTGCCTTGGCAAACGTCTGTCAGCCACGCCTTTTCGGCTTAAGACTGAGGTCTTTTGTTCTGGACGGCGTCAGGTCAAAACACATGGTGCACACCCCATTGTGGGGGTTGCTCTCGGGACAATATAAGCCCAAGGAACAACTGAGGAAAAGAGACTTCGAGCGAAGCTGCTGCTGTATGCAGAGCTCTGAGCAGAGAGACTCCGAGCGGAGCTGCTGCTGTGTGCAGAGCTCTGAGCAGGGAGATTCAAGAGGAGCTGCTGCTGGGGTGCAGGGCTTAGGAGAAGGCTGCTGAAGTCTCTGGAGGAGACTGTTGGAGACACTGGGCAGAGTACTGGCTTGGAGCAGTACTCGGCTGTGTAGGTCTTGGGACCTGTGGCTTAATTCCTGTGGTGAACTGTCCTCTGAACTATATTGTAAGTTACATTCTGTTTTGCCAAGCTAATTGTATTCCCTGTCTCACTACTTATATGTACCACCTCATTTATCAAAACCCCAGTAATGTTTCCTGTTCCCAAATATATTATTGTACAAGGACTTCATAATAAACTGTGTTTGAGTAGAATAGTAATATTCACTGTCCCCATTATTTGCTCGTTTATTCATTATTTTATTTCAAGTAGTGAGAGGGTGAGTAGTGTGGTGGGTAGAGTAATGAGGGGTGAAGGTGTAGTCATCAGTGACCTCACATTACCTACCGTTCGCCTCTAATCACTCGACTCCGACTCTCCTGCCTTACTCCAGGTTACTCCGTTATTCCCCAGTTATGCTTACATTCCAATAATCCCCCTACATGACAGGTATACATCCGCTTTGGAATAAGTCCAACTTGGTATATGTCCTGCTTGGACGCAAAAATTTTTGATTGGTATACGACATTTGTGTGGAATACAACTCGCGTGCTAGAACTTGTATGGGTCAAAATGAGTCACGACACTGCACTCTACCCTTGTTTACCTCTCTCTCGAGACAGAGCCACTGACTAGCGTCAGTACGCCCATTGCTACCATTCAGTGAACAACCCACGCTGTAACTCTCTGTGAATTTTCATGTGATTTTGTGTTTTTTCATATAAATTTTTAGTAAATTCATTAACCATGAGTTCTAAGAAAGTTAATGAGAAGAGCCAACCAATGAAGAAAATAGTTAGGATCACCATGGAGGTGAAAAAAGAGATTGTTGAAAAGTATGAAGGTGGCATGCATATCTGGGACTTGGCTGCTGCATACCATATGCTGAGAACAATGGTATCTATGATTGTGAAAAACAAAGATGTTATTAAATCGGCTAACGTTGCGAAAGGGGTGAAATCAATTACCAAATAAAGATCAGGGACATTAGAGCATGTTGAAAAATTGCTTTTGATCTGGATAACAGAAAAACAGTGTGCTGGCAATAGCATATCAGAGGCAATGATTTGCGAAAAGGCAAAACTGATGCATGTCGATCTTTTGAAAAACAAGGCAGGAATGAGCCAAGAAAGTGAAGTGTTTAAAGCCAGCCATGGCTGGTTTGATAATTTTATGAAGAGGACTGGCATTCACAGTGTTGTGAGACACGGAGAGGGAGCCAGTGCTGATAAAGATCCCACCAATGATTTTGTTATAGAGTTTGGGGGGTTTGTGGAGGCTGAGGGTTTTGTTCCCCAACAAGTGTTTAAGTGTGACGAAACAGGCCTGTTTTGGAAGAAAATGCCTAACAGGACCTATATTACACAAGAGGAGAAGGCATTACCAGGACACAAGCCAGTGAAGGATAGGTTAACTCTCTTGTTCTGTGCCAATGCAAATGGGGATTGCAAACTGAAGCCTCTACTGATCTGCCGCTCTGAAAACCCAAGGGCTTTTAAAAAACATAATGTGCAGAAAACTCAGTTACCTGTGATGTGGAGGTCAAACAGCAAGGCTTGGGTAACCAGAGAATATTTCAGTGAATAGTTTAATGTTATGTTTGGGCCAAGTGTAAAAAGTTATTTAGAGGAGAAAAACCTGCCTCTGAAGGCCCTCCTCATAATGGACAGTGCTCCAGCTCACCCTCCAAACTTGCAGGACTATGTGCTGCCGGAGTTTGACTCCATCATTGTAAAGTTTCTCCCCCCTAACACGACTCCTCTCATTCAGCCCATGGATCAGTAGGTCATCAGTAATTTCAGGAAACTCTACACTAAAGCACTATTCCAGAGGTGCTTTGAAGTGACCTCTGACACAGAGTTAACCCTGAGAGAGTTTTGGAAAGATCACTTTACTATCGCCCTTTACATAACTCTCATTTACAAAGCCTGGCGGGAAGTTTCATACAGAATAATGAACTCTGCTTGGAGGAATTTGTGGCCAGAAGCAGTGGCTGAAAGGGGCTTTGAGGGCTTTGAGGCTGTCTGTAGTGGAGGATATTGTCTCTCTGGGCAGGTCCATGGGTCTGGATGTGAGTGATGGTGATGTGGAGGAGTTAGTGGAGGGGCACAGGAAAGAGCTGACCACTGAGGAGCTGCAGGAACTTGAGAAGGAGCACCAGACTAAGATGGACACACTCTCTTCAGGCTCGGAAGAGGAGATAGAGGAAGCCCCTACTTCATTAATCAAGGAAATCTTGGCCAAATGGATGGATGTCAAAAACTTTGCAAAGAAGCTCCACCCCAACAAAGCCCAAATAAGCCGTAATAACCAGACAATGTCACATATCTGAAACATCCTGAGGAGAAGGCAGAAGCATAGTTCTTTGGGCAGATATTTAGTAAAAGTCAAACCTGGTGAGCTTCAACCAGGTCCAGATAGGTAAAAGAGACAGAAAAGAGAAGGGGACTCTCCTTCCAAGCTGTAACATCTCCTCCTCCTCCTCCTCCTCCTCCTCCTCCTCCTCCTCCTCCTCCTCCCTTCTCAGCACTATCCTAGTAGGCACTCGACTCTTTTCAGCTAAGTAAAGTGAGGTTAAATTTGCATTTATTTCATCTAATTCTATTTGTATTTATGTATGTAGTTTAGTATTAAGCAGTGTTTAAATTACATATTTTAGTATTAAGCAGTGTTTACATTATTTTATACAACCCCATCAGTGTATAATATGCCAATAACAATAGGAGTTTTTTTCATGGGAACAGAGTAATCGTTTTCCCTATATTTCTTATGGGAAAATTCGTTTGGTACAAGTCCAAGGTCCTGGAACGGATTAAGGACGTGTACCGAGGTACCACTGTAATTGTATTTTATTTGCTGGAGATTAGATTTTCTTGAATTAGCATAATAATGTATAAAATATTAACTCTTTGGTACATAGTATGGTATTATAAATCTCCAGTGCATACTATACAGTGGTACCTCGGAATACGAACAGCTCAAAACGCGAACAGTTATGTAAGTGTATTTATGTAAGTGCTTTTGTAAGTGTATTTTTGGGGGTCTGAAATGGATTAATCTAATTTACATTATTCCTTATGGGAACAAATTGTTTTGGTATCAGCATTCGAACAGCCTTCTGGAACGAAATAAATTTGTATCTCGAGGTACCACTGTATAGTACATAGGATATTAATGTATACAGTATTAATAAATTCAGTAGTGTGCAGTCAGACCTCCATAATTATCAAATTCAAATTTTTATTTCTTTTATGCAGTACACAGATAATGTAGTTTACATGTAAGAAAATATTGTTAAGCACAAGAATCACTAGCATTGGGTAGTTATTTGACTGTTGAAGAATCTTTGGCAGTATTCTTGAATACCTGAAGCATGGGTATTTTTTAATTTTTAAAATTAAATTATTGTATATGTATAAATCAATGTTCCTAGACTTGTAATGATGAGATCAATCTTTCTGATAGTCTTAGTAATGATGGTGCTGGCAATGTGTGAAGATATTGGGAAACTTGTTTGTTAGCACTTAAGACTGTCTCAAGTCTTAGATCAAGATTGTTATTACTTTATTATAATGTAGTGCTAAACCCTTAAGGGCAACCAGGTAAACAAGTTGAAATAATTCTGAGGATTTAAGTAAGTTAGTTAACTGAACATATGTGACATGGAAAATTAGACCAGTATTTTATTTTGCAAAGGGCCAACCTCACCTCCAGTAATAGGAGAGTTTGAAGAGCATACCCGAGGCTTTGGTCGCCGACTTCTGGAAGCGCAGGGTTGGCATGATGGACAGGGATTAGGAAAAGATGCTAAAGGTCTTCCTTATGCTCTTGATGGTGATGGACAACATCCTCATGACAAGAAAGGCTTTGGGTAAGTTTTAAATTATAAAATTTATCATATTTGTGTATAATTTACATTTTCGTAAACAAATTTGTAGATTTTGAAGTGAATAACAGTTCCAGCTTTAGATGTTATTAAAAATAAGAATTATAAAAAAAATTGTACTGTATTTGGTGCTAAGCATATCACAGGTAATAATTCACTTATTCATGCCAAGATAGGCAGTCAGAAAATTTTTTAAGTAACCATAGTGTGCATAAAGTAGTTGGCAAGTGTCAGTGTTTGGTAGTGTCGAGTCAGTATTAAAAGCAAGAATTTTTATTTTACACCATTGATTTTACTGGATAAAAGCTATTTTCCTACCTCATCTCATTGCTAGCATAATTTGATTAAAGTGTACAGTAGGTCTACAGCTTGCAATGCTCTATACTTACAAAATTGGTATTTTGGAACCAATTAATTGCTGACGAACACAGACTCGCCATTCTAAATGGTAAAACTACTTACAGCTTGAAAATATCACTTCCAGTAAACTAAACAAGATAGTACAGTATCAATATTTGCTATATGCATTCATATTTTTTGTATGTTTATTTTATGCATATTTGGATCACTAATATTTTTTCATTAGAAGTTAGTCAATGACTGTAAATTTAATAAATATAGCATTATCTTTTCTCTGGTAGCTTTTTACCAATTGCATTGATATTTTGCATATTCATAATTTTATGCAAGTGTAGTAGGCTCACATTTGATTGGTAAAGATTGGTTAAGAACTAAAGATTTCATAATTAAGACAGTCTTGGTTGGTGACATGCTGACTAGGTGGCTACATTCACTTTGTGTACAACTGGTATGGTGCAACAACTCAGACACCTCACACCACCACCCTGCCTCCACTATGCAACTCAGACATGCAGTAATGCTCATCACTCATGTATTCTCACCCAAACATTTCAGCAAACTTCTGATGTAAAACATCTAGGAATGGTTTAGACATTTGCTGAAGAATTCTCTAGCAGTTTAGTTACCACATAATTGAAGTAGTCAGTTTCCTGGTACTGAAAAATAAAATTTTTGTAAAAGTTTAAGGCTTGCTCTAGCAAAATATGAGAGAACTAATAAAAAGCAAATGGTATAAGTACAGTAACCCCAAAAAATAAGATAGCAAAATCATTGCCATAATGTAAGACTGAGGACAGTGCTTTTACAAGAAGACATTGCAGCTCAACATGATAATACAGTATATTACTAGTAAATTAAAAGGATGTTTGGGAAGGTGTGTAAAGGTAGAAAGTTGAAAGTGAATATGGATAAGAGTGAGGTGATGAGGGTATCAAACAATTTAGATAAAGAAAAATTGGATATCACATTCGAGGGAGGAAGTATGGAAGAAGTGAATGTTTTCAGTTACGTATTTGGGAGTTGACTTGTCAGTGGATGGGTTTATGGAGGATGAGGGAAACCATACAACTGATAAAGGAGAAAAGGCGAGTGGTGTGTTGAGGTATCTGTGGAGACGAAGAGCATTATCCATGGAGGCAAAGAAGGGAATGCACGAGAGTATAGTGGTACTAACACTCTTATATGGGTGTGAAGCATGAGTTGTAAATGCTGCAGTGAGAAGGCGGCTGGAGGCAGTGGAGATGTCGTGTCTAAGGGCACTGTGTGGTGTAAATATTATGCAGAGAATTCGTAGTGTGGAAATTAGGAGGTGTGGAGTTACTAAAAGTATTAGTCAGAGAACTGAAGAGGGGCTGTTGAGGTGGTTTGGTCATTTAGAGAGAATAGAACAAAGTATAGAATGACTTGGAGAGCATATAAATCTGTTGGGGAAGGAAGGCAGGGTAGGGGTCATCCCCAAAAAGGTTGGAGGGAGGAGGTAAAGGAAGTTTTGTGGCGAGGGGCTTGGACTTCCAGCAAGCATGCGTGAGCGTGTTAGATAGGAGTGAATGGAGACGAATGGTTTTTGTGACCTGACGAGCTGTTGGAGTGTGAGCAGGGTAATATTTTGTGAAGGGATTCAGGGAAACCATTTAGCCAGACTTGAGTCCTGGAAATGGGAAGTACAATGTCTGCACTTTAAAGGAGGAATTTAGGATATTGGCGATTTGGAGGGATATCTAAACTGTCTTATCTGAGCGCCTCTGCAAAGACAGGGATTATGTGTGAGTGATGGTGAAAATGTTGAGTGATAATGATTTTTTTTTGGGGGGGAGGGGGTTCTTTCTTTTTGGGTCACCCTGCTTTGGTGGGAAATGGCTGATGTGTTAAAAACAAAACAAAAAATGCATTAATGAGAAATCACTATTTATTTCTAGTTACTATGGAGAAAAACTTCATGGTTGGAGAACTGCTTCAAGCACAGGCCAACAGCACCAGTCACGTCTCCCAGGAGCATGCAAGAAGCATCAGAAAGATGTCCTGATATCTACAGTATTTGATTGTCCCAGCACAGTGGATCCTCCAGCACCAACACTTCGCACTCGTGAACCAACTACTCTTTCTCATCGTCATAATTATGTGGCATTTGCAAGAGCTTCAGATTCTAGTTAACTATCACAACTTTCAGAATTTCATTTTTATATTTAATAGTTGTAAATATTAATTCATTTTCATCAAACCTCACAAGAACTTATCTTAACTTTTTTTTTCATGAATCAAAATTTAGTGATTTATTTTTTATATGTTTTATCTTTGATACCTTATTTATTTTTTAAATTCTCCATTCTTTTATGTATTTTAGGAGAGGTTTTCAGTGATTTATACTTCTCAAATACAGTACATGTATGTATAATTTGTATATAAACCACAAAACAATTTATTCATATACAGACTGTATATAGTATATTTTGTAATATATCAGGTTCATCTCAGCTTGCATTGTTACTTACAGTGAGCAAGGACACAAAAATAATGAAAAAATAAAAGTTTGTCCGGTAACAGGTTATTTTTTTTCTTCCAAGGTGAATAAATGAATGATTTACTATAGCATTCTATATATACAGTGGACCCCCGCCTTACGATCAGCTCCCAACTCGAACAATTATGTAAGTGTATTTTTGTAAGTGCTTTTGTACATGTATTTTGGGGGGTCTGAAACGGACTAATCTAATTTACAATATTCCTTATGGGAACAAATTCGTTCGGTAACGGCACCCGAACAGATTTCTGGAATGAATTAATATCGTAAGGTGGGGGTCCACTGTATTTCATATGGAACAGCTGTTATATTGTGTATGTATTATGCATAAAATATTCTTTCATTGTGAAATTTATAGTAAAACTCATAAAAATATGCCATATGTGCATTGCATAAAGCAGGGAATAGCTTTCACTGTTTCCGCCAGACAGCACCGGTTACAGGGTTAAAATTTCACCTAACCTGTGAGACCTTGGCACACACTGCAGGATATTCAAAACATTTCTTGGTCAGAGTGGAAGTTCCACTTACTTGGTTTAGAAATTAAACTGCAATTGCAAATTTGTGACTTTTTTTTTTTTAACACTGGCTGTTTCCCACCATGGCAGGGTGACTCAAAAAAGGAACACTTTCTCCATCATTCACACTATCACTGTTTTGCCAGAGGCACGCAATAATGTGGAGAAAGTATAAGGGCTGTACTGTATTCATCAAGTATATAAAAGCTAGTAGAGTAAAGAATAGTAAAGCAAACAAAAAAGATATTTTTATTTTAAAAGGAATTGACAACAGTGTGTTGAAAAGTCAATATAGTTGAGAAAATAGGGCAGCCCATCCAGTGTAAATACCGTATAACCACTGGGGGTACCATTTTAACAGCCTCCTAGGTAGTGCTTCAACAAGTGATCAGAAATCAATCATTTTTCTACTGTAACAAATATATAAATTAGAACCCTTATTGGTTTGCTAATGGATGGAACCTGAATGCCTCTCATTCTCCAGGCACTGTATGATCCCTAAGAGTTTAGCACTCCCCCATGATTACAATAACTTCAGTGGAGTATTGATGCAGATGACAAAGCCCAATTAACCATGAGAGATACATAAGACACATACAGGTCATTCAAACATATATACACGTAGCTGTAGCTTTACAATACAATGATAATGATAATTTTTATTCTTATAATTTAAGTATGCAATTTATATGTGATTAGTTATGATTGGCATACTTAACAGAAAGACCCAGTTATGTAGAATATAATACACTTTATGTCCCCCTTTACTATGTATATCCGTCTACAAGTGACTGAGTTATATGTGAAACCTTCACTTTATTAAACACATTTGTGAGACTCGCAGTTTACAGCAAGAAAGCAGCCACAGTCACATTACAACAATCAGTTCATTACATACATCATGCCACAATATATGGAAAAAATATGCATGTATAGGAAAGATTGTATAAGGGGAAAATAGCCATGAAACATATAATACATCTTTCGTTTAATAGCAATTTTTTTTTTTTTAACAAGTCGGTTTTCTCCCACCGAGGCAGGGTGACCCAAAAAAGAAAGAAAATCCCCAAAAAGAAAATAATTTCATCATCATTCAACACTTTCACCACACTCACACATAATCACTGCTTTTGCAGAGGTGCTCAGAACACAACAGTTTAGAAGCATATACCTATAAAGATACACAACATATCCCTCCAAACTGCTAATATCCTGAACTCCTCCTTTAGAGTGCAGGCATTGTACTTCCCATTTCAAGGACTCAAGTCCGGCTATATAAAAATAACCGGTTTCCCTGAATCCCTTCACTAAATACTATTACCCTGCTCACACTCCAATAGATCGTCAGGTCCCAAATACCATTCATCTTCATTCACTCCTATCTAACACACTCATGCACGCTTGCTGGAAGTCCAAGTCCCTTGCCCACAAAACCTCCTTTACCCCCTCCCTCCAACCTTTTCAAGGACGACCCCTACCCCGCCTTCCTTCCCCTACAGATTTATACGCTCTCCATGTCATTCTACTTTGATCCATTCTCTCTAAATGACCAAACTACCTCAACAACCCCTCTTCAGCCCTCTGACTAATACTTTTATTAACTCCACACCTTCTCCAAATTTCCACACTCCGAATTTTCTGCATAATATTTACACCACACATTGCCCTTAGACAGGACATCTCCACTGCCTCCAACCGTCTCCTCGCTGCTGCATTCACAACCCAAGCTTCACACCCATATAAGAATGTTGGTACTACTATACTTTCATACATTTCCTTCTTTGCCTCCATAGATAACGTTTGTTGTCTCCACATATACCTCAACGCACCACTCACCTTTTTTCCCTCATTAATTCTGTGATTAACCTCATCCTTCATAAATCCGTTCGCTGACACGTCAACTCCCAAGTATCTGAAAACATTCACTTCTTCCATACTCCTCCTCCCTAATTGGGTTTAATTCTTACAAGATTTGACACATGAACAAACAAATAAAAAAACACTACTATTGGAACATACTCTGAGAGTAGTTAAACTCTCAAAACTCTTCAAAGGTATAGGCTGAAGTACTGCCATGCACTAATGGCCCTTTTCAAGGCAGGTGGAATTGCAGACCTGGAGAATATACAGAATTTTCACTGCATATACAAGTACAATAAAGCACCTCAGTTACTGGGAACGTTGAAGTCCCTTGACCTGTACTCTGTGGAACGCAGGTATGAAAGATACGTGATATGCACTTGGAAAATCCTAGAGGGACTTGTTTACCTGGAGTTTACCTGGAGAGAGTTCCGGGGATCAACGCCCCCGCGGCCCGGTCTGTGACCAGGCCTCCTGGTGGATCAGAGCCTGATCAACCAGGCTGTTGCTGCTGGCTGCACGCAAACCAATGTACGAGCCACAGCCCGGCTGGTCAGGAACCGACTTTAGGTGCTTGTCCAGTGCCAGCTTGAAGACTGCCAGGGGTTTGTTGGTAATCCCCCTTATGTATGCTGGGAGGCAGTTGAACAGTCTCGGGCCCCTGACACTTATTGTATGGTCTCTTAACGTGCTAGTGACACCCCTGCTTTTCATTGGGGGGATGTTGCATCGTCTGCCAAGTCTTTTGCTTTCGTAGTGAGTGATTTTCGTGTGCAAGTTCGGTACTAGTCCCTCTAGGATTTTCCAGGTGTATATAATCATGTATCTCTCCCGCCTGCATTCCAGGAAATACAGGTTTAGGAACCTCAAGCGCTCCCAGTAATTGAGGTGTTTTATCTCCGTTATGCACAGCCGTGAAGGTTCTCTGTACATTTTTCTAGGTCAGCAATTTCACCTGCCTTGAAAGGTGCTGTTAGTGTGCAGGAATATTCCAGCCTAGATAGAACAAGTGACCTGAAGAGTGTCATCATGGGCTTGGCCTCCCTAGTTTTGAAGGTTCTCATTATCCATCCTGTCATTTTTCTAGCAGATGCGATTGATACAATGTTATGGTCCTTGAAGGTGAGATCCTCCGACATGATCACTCCCAGGTCTTTGACGTTGGTGTTTCGCTCTATTTTGTGGCCAGAATTTGTTTTGTACTCTGATGAAGATTTAATTTCCTCGTGTTTACCATATCTGAGTAACTGAAATTTCTCATCGTTGAACTTCATATTGTTTTCTGCAGCCACTGAAAGATTTGGTTGATGTCTGCCTGGAGCCTTGCAGTGTCTGCAATGGAAGACACTGTCATGCAGATTCGGGTGTCATCTGCAAAGGAAAGACACGGTGCTGTGGCTGACATCCTTGTCTATGTCAGATATGAGGATGAGGAACAAGATGGGAGCGAGTACTGTGCCTTGTGGAACAGGCTTTTCACCGTAGCTGCCTCGGACTTTACTCTGTTGACTACTACTCTCTGTGTTCTGTTAGTGAGGAAATTATAGATCCATTGACCGACTTTTCCTGTTATTCCTTTAGCACGCATTTTGTGCGCTATTACGCCATGGTCACACTTGTCGAAGGCTTTTGCAAAGTCTGTATATATTACATCTGCATTCTTTTTGTCTTCTAGTGCATTTAGGACCTTGTCGTAGTGATCCAATAGTTGAGACAGACAGGAGTGACCTGTTCTAAACCCATGTTGCCCTGGGTTGTGTAACTGATGGGTTTCTAGATGGGTGGTGATCTTGCTTCTTAGGACCCTTTCAAAGATTTTTATGATATGGGATGTTAGTGCTATTGGTCTGTAGTTCTTTGCTGTTGCTTTACTGCCCCCTTTGTGGAGTGGGGCAAATGTCTGTTGTTTTTTAGTAACTGTGGGACGACCCCCGTGTCCATGCTCCCTCTCCATAGGATGGAAAAGGCTTGTGATAGGGGCTTCTTGCAGTTCTTGATGAACACGGAGTTCCACGAGTCTGGCCCTGGGGCAGAGTGCATGGGCATGTCATTTATCGCCTGTTCGAAGTCATTTGGCGTCAGGATAACATCGGATAGGCTTGTGTTAATCAAATTTTGTGGCTCTCTCAAAAAAAATTCATTTTGATCTTCGACTCTCAGTCTGGTTAGCGGCTTGCTAAAAACTGAGTCATATTGGGACTTGAGTAGCTCACTCATTTCCTTGCTGTCATCTGTGTAGGACCCATCTTGTTTAAGTAGGGGCCCAATACTGGACGTTTTTCTCGACTTTGATTTGGCATAGGAGAAGAAATACTTTGGGTTTCTTTCAATTTCATTTATGGCTTTTAGTTCTTCCCGCGATTCCTGACTCCTATAAGATTCCTTTAGCTTAAGTTCGATGCTTGCTATTTCTCTGACCAGTGTCTCCGTACGCATTTCAGATATATTGACCTCTTTTAGCCTCTCTGTTATTCTTTTCCGTCGCCTGTAAAGGGAGCGCCTGTCTCTTTCTATTTTGCATCTACTCCTCCTTTTTCTTAGAGGAATAAGCCTTGTGCATACATCGAGTGCCACCAAGTTAATCTGTTCTAAGCATAAGTTGGGGTCTGTGTTGCTTAGTATATTTTCCCAGCTTATATCGG